GGCAGAGTAATAGAGGTCTCCAAATTCTGTCATTTTTTCATCTCTGAAGAAGAGTAGTGAGTGTTGAGAAAATGTTCTAGAAAACTGTTACTCTCACCCCTTCAGAAAAGCAAAGAAAACATCACAGCAGTATCCTGAGGGTTTGAAAAGTGAATGTGTTTTGGTTTTAAATAAAAGATAATTTTTTCTAGTGTGATCTAGCTGGAAGAATATTTTGTCTGTCAAACCTGTCTCCCTAAAGGCAGGTAAAAATATATTCCGCATGCACACACATTCATATATATGAATACCTATATTTGCATGTATATGTGCAAAATGTTCCTAGAATGATACAAAAGAAACAGGCAACCCTGGTTGCCTCTGAGATGGGAAACCAATAATGATCAAATGCTTATCCCTCGGGCTGAGTTTCACATATAAATAAGCTGATGAGCAATGGACCTTTTTCTTTTTAAGAATGAAAAAAAAGGGAAACGTCACATGTACAAGAAAATATCAGAAAACACTTAGGTTACATGTACAAGAAAATATCAGAAAACACTTAGGTTTCAGGTTCTCAATGGGGAATAAAAGCACAGATGAATTCGGACAAAGAAGAAAACAAAAAAGGCAAACGTTAGGGTGAAGAGTAAGGCTCCCATGCAGAGACCACTGACCATCTGGGAAATGGCCATAGAGTTGAGGGAGAGCAGCAGCGAGCTGCTATGGCTGAAGAGGTAGGTGAGGGCCAGACAGCAACATGGATGACATGTTAAGAGCCATGGGCAAGAGGGATGGGCTTCAATCAAGTCAGCAGGATGATCAGATTTGTGTTTTGTGTTTATAAGATTGTTTTCATGTGAAATGAGAATAATAAATTGGAAGAATGCAAGAGTGAATGCAAGGAGAAAGAGAGGGGCTGATATAATACGATCAGTGAACAGGGTAATGGCCTGAATGAAGAAGTACAGAGGGATGGATAGACACTAGCTATTTGGAAAGTGGTACGGTCAGGACTTGGAGACTGAACAGGCATAAGGAGAGAGAGAGAGAAGTCAAAGACAATGACCAGCATTCTGGCCTGTGCTGATGGGTGGGTGGAGCTAGAAGCGGAAGAGTGAAAGCTGGTTTTGTCAAAAAAACATGTCAGTTGCAAGTGACAGTGGAACATTAGAGTGAAGATGTCTGGCAGATGGGGCAATGTGGTCATCAGCATCCACAGAGCTAAAGAGTAAGTAGAGTGAGAAGTGGGCCCAGGGGTCTCCAACATAATAAGGGGAAGGCAGAAGAAGGAAGATTGAAAAAGATGAGGAAAGAGCAGCCACAGAAGCAGGAGGAAAACCAGGAGAGCAGGCATGATGGACATCAAATAATGAAAGCATTTCGAGAAGGTGGTCAGTGTCCACAGCTGCCAAAGAGACAAAAAAGACAAGGACTTAAAGTTTCTCACGACCCCGGCAAAAACAGAGGTGGTGGAGAACAGTGGGAGTAAAGGGTGCAATTCTAAATCTTTTGCCAGCAAAATTACAAACGACTATACCATCTAGATGTTGAGGATAATTTGTGAAAAGCAAACCACAAAACAACCGCTATACATGTGATAACAGATGAAGCAGAAAATAAGTCTTATAATTTCTTTACAAAGCACTATTAACCATCCATCACCATAGGATATGCTTAGTGCCTGAAATTTTGAAGGGAAAAATATCCAGCACCCGAACAAAAGTGAAATCCCTAAAATAGTAAGCAAAAATATGTATCATTCCAATGTTTAGGCACTGGATTGGCATAGGCACATCTAAAATGTCAACACCATGCTGGGAGTCCCTAAAGGCTTCCCCTAGGACTCAGAGGACATGTCCCCTTGTAATCAGGCAGGAAGAGCTTGAATATAAGGCCAGAGAACTAGCTAAAAGAGAAAGAAGGTTGCCATTGGCACATTAACATGGCAACATGAGGGGAATTAGTAACCCCAGCCTAGGCCTAGCACCATGCCCAGTAAACACTAATCCCCTATCATCAAGAACCTTCACTTCAAATCTGCTCATCTACATGACTAATCCACGTTGGCATTTTGCTTTCTGGAACATGGAGTCCAGCCAAACCAAGTTAACAGGCATAAGAAGGAAACCTAAGAACAGAAGAAAGAACAACACATCAGCCATGAAAACCAGAGACACATTAAGAGAAGTAGACTGTTGCTGATTGTTACAATGGGCTATTAAATCCATTCAAAGTCATTTGTATTACAGAAAAGAGAAAGATCTATGTGACCTTGGTTGCCCAAGGTCACACAGAGTCTTGCTGGACTTGGGCAAGAACCTGTCTGGTTTTTTCTGCACTATACCATGAGTCCTGATAGCCAATTGCTGCCAAATACCTGTGTCCAGCCTCAGCTCTCTCCAAGGCTCCAGACCCATGTAACCTACCAGCTCTTCCACAACTCCTCTGGACTATCTCAAAAGCTCAGTTCCTGACATCCAACACTGAACTCATGATCTTTCCCCAGTGCCAGTGTTTCATCTAGGGCTTCCTAGCTCAACAGGTGACACCACCATCCATCTGGTTCCTGAGCCAGAGACCAAGGAATCGTGTCCAGTGTTTGAACTCCGACCCTGCCACTTCCTAGCTGTGATCTTAGGCAAATTAAATAAGTTCTCTAAACCTCAGGTTTTGTCATCTGAAAAATGGGATAACAACACTAATTACTTCATAAGATAGCTGTGGGCACTGAAAGAGATAATGTCCTTAAATTGTCAAGCCCATAGGAAATGTCTTTGCATATGCGGTTCCCTACATCTTATCACCTGCTCCCCACTCCCACCCCGTCACCTGGGTAACAGCTATGTACTCTTCTCATTCCAACTCAAATGTTGCTCTCCCTCCAGAAGCCTTCTTTGATCAGCCCCTGCCCCTCAAGGCTAGGTCATATCCCACACCCATTTTCATCCTCAAAGTACAGTGTAATTCCTACTGTTATCCCATATCATAATTATATATTTACTTTGTGGTGGTTTGGTTAATGGCCATCTCTCCAACAGCTCCATGAGGAGCTACTGTAAGCTCCATGAGGGCAGCAACTGCTAGTGTTATGCCTCATTTTTGTATTCTCAACACATTGCACTGTGTTGAGAATACAAAATAGGTGGTACTTCATAGGTGTCCACTAAATATCAGTTGAGTGAAGGGCTCAAGAAGCATGTTTGCCAGCAGAAAAGGGAACCTGGGGATTAGAAGAGAAGCCACAGGATGCCAATCCAAATGAGCACCCATGACCATGCCATCCAGGGGGCTAGGTAGAAAGGGTCTGGTGAGCCCAGTCACACTGCTGTAAAGCTCGGTATGCACTGCTAGTTTGACTATCATCCTAACGATTCAGGATCTGGCCTCTGCAGACCCAGGACATACTCTGTAGGAACCTGCACAGCCACATCTTGGAGAGCTTAGGGATAAATCCAAGTCCTACTGATACCTTTTCTAACATAAACCTCACTCCACAGTGGGTGTGATTCTCATGTTTAAAGGCACATATTTTTGTACTGCAGGATCTCTAAACACAGCCAACTACTACATCTGGAGCTCAGCTGAAGAAACAATTGTCTTTTCCAACTTGGGAATAAAACTGAGCTGTACTGGCCCTGGGAGCAAATGGCATATTGGTTCTCCAATGTGGTACCAATAAGGGATTTTTTGAGACTATTTTTCACTACACCCAATGTTTCTTTATGCAGCAACTCTAGAACCTAGCCTTCTTGTACTATGGGACTCTAATGTGTGGCAAAGTAATGAAAACAGCAGGTTTTGACAGTGAACAGGCCTAGACTCAAATTCTCCCTTTGTCACTGACTAGTTATGAATGAAACCTTAGACCAGCTATTTGACCTCTCTCAGCCATAGTCAACTCATTTATACTATTAGAAGCAGCAGTAAGGAGATCTTATGGCTGTAGAAAGCATTAAATATAAATAAATAGCCTGTGGCTAAATTAATATCTTTAAGAAATTATTTGTACATAGAGTGCCACCTTAGAAGATCAAGTTCTGCACCATGTCTAACACAGTGCCCCATCCCCAGAAGGTATTCCATGAACACCAGGATCTTAAGACTTTGTTTATTCCGTTCCAAACTAGCAGCCCACTTCTTTATGGGAGTGTCTGACACCACCCTTGTGAGTAGAAGTGCCTGTGCAAAAATGCTCCTTCTTCCCAAGTTGGACAATTGAAATGTTATACAAACCGCCCCACTTCCTCGTCTTTAGTGTCAAATAGTAAACCCGCACACACATACACACACACACACACACACACACCCTTCTTTGAGAATATAACTTCCCCAGCACAGGACCCAGAGACACTACACAAGGCAACAGCTGCAGACAGAGAACAAAGTAAGAGCTCTTTATCCAAAGGAAAACACTGGAGAAAGGGAAGCTGAAATTCTCTAAGCTGTGGTATAGCCAGAACAAACTGAGATATCATCTGTGCTTTTGCCGTAATATTTCTTTGGTATTTATTACAAAAGTAAACAGTAGCTACTGCCACTTGTCCAATAACTGTTCTCCAAACAGCACTGGTCTAGGCACTGAGAGAGAATACAGAACTACCTCTGCCTTCCAAAAGTTTACCATGTAATTAGAGAAACAAAACAAATGGAAAACAGTTAACTATGCATTAAATGAGTAATAATAAAGAATAAGGCAGAGACAAGACAGGCTGCTTTAGAAAAAGTAAAGCTCTCCTGAAGCTGGTAGCTAATTATTTGATAGGTGAAGGTAGAGGGATATACTAAAGACCAAGAAGCAGCCTAGTTTATCTAGAGACACTGAGAAGGGGTAGAAACATACACAGTAGAAAAGATTTAGGAATTTATACAAGCAAGAAACAAGACATGCAATATTTGCATGAGGGAGCAGTTTTAGATCTTCCGTGCAAGAAAAAGGAGGGGCCATCAAAAAGCCATGTCCCCAAAGTCCAAAGCTTGCCTCCACTGTCCCAATGGCATAACCCTACATCATCACTTACCCGGATAAGGGAAGTCTGATGCCGAAGGGGCTTCGTTCCTGGGCCCCCTGATGAGGATCCCTCAGGCTGGACAAGAGGCTGCCTAGCTTCATAAGGAGCTGAAACAGCAGAAAGGAAAGTTAGCATGTTATGCAAAGATTCCATCCAAAAATGATGACTTCACATTCAGACTGATACAGCCTCTGCTTTTCAAGAAAGAATTGGCAACAGAATCATGAGTATATACTCATAGGGCCACCTAGGACCGACAACCCCTGATTCTCTTTGGCACAATTTCACTAAATAATCTAAAGACATTCAACCAATTCATGATAGGCAGAAAAATATTTACACTGGGTTAAGATTAGGAATAAATTGTGAAGGTGGAACAGTGAGTACTTCAATTGGGATAGAAAGCAACAATAGCTAGAAAAGTGTCATAAGTATTCAAATTCCAAATATCAGGTAAATTATATATATACCCCCATGTAAATGTCTTCCATTGATCATCCACTTCCGCAAGAAGAAAACTAATGTGCATTTTGAACACTAAAAACCAACATTATTTTTGAAAAATAAATCAGACAGAATGTAAAATCATATAGAGAAAAATATAAAAGTGAATATATTTTATATTTATTATTCTACTATTCACTAATCAAACTTTAAAAAAAACAATTTTGCTGCCTTTAAAAAAATGTTTTAAGCCACAAAAATGAATGCATGTTTTCACTCCTTTTATTTCCAGAAGACTTAATAATGATCTTGCCAATAGGTCAGTTAAACATAACCAGGTAGTATGCAGCTCCAACAGGAAGCGGAAACTATTACCCAAGTTGAAATTGTTTCTCATCTCTATAGGTTAATAGTTCATGTTTTTTAAAATATATAAATAAGTAAAAATTTTTCTTTCTGTAGCTTACTTACAAATAAAATCAGGAAGAGAGCGGAGCAGCCTGTTATGACCTAAGGTTTAGCATAGTTTGCTCTTTTTAAAATAAAGAAGGTACAACAACAGCACATCAAGAATGATAAATCACTCTTGGGCATACATCTGCTTTTTATATTTCTTCCTAGTAACTGGAACACAACGTTATAATACATTAACACACATTAAAATAGCAAAACAACTGCCTGGCAACCCATTAAGCGGATTTTCAGAAATTGCTAAGAATGAATACAAATATAAAAACTGCAAAACAAACATACATAGCACATAATCCAAATCTTAAAAAGTAAGTCTCAGCTTGTAGGCAGCCATTGTCTTCTGAGAAATAGGATTTAAAAAATCATTCCATGTTGATGAAACACTGAATTAAACCATTAATACCAACTGCGCTCTGCCAAAAGGCTTGAAATAAAGTAAACTGTAGCATGGTTGGGGTGCCAGTGGTCATGAGCTTTCCCTAGGAAGCAAATCTCATGTGCCTCTGCTTCCCATAAAAGCTTCTACTTCTACTTCCAGGGGAGACACATGGGGGAACAGACCACCATCTGACCTTTGGCTTCTATCTCTCACCTATAAGGGCCTTCCCTTGGAAGAGACAAACCTATCTCACCAGTAAGGCTCAGATGAAGACTCAGCTGCATGGAGGACCATTTTTGGAGAGGCAGATTCTCTCTTCCTACTTATGTGGGAAACCTGGGATGGTCAAGCCTGCCTGTGACTGGAAAGGTGAGTGTCTAAAGCCCATTTGCTCACAAATCTAAGACATGTGCTCTCATCAGCTATATCAATAATAAAGTATTCAGGCTGTCATCAGTCTGACTTCTGGCTCCTTCCTCAATTGGATCTGAATTCAGGAAGTTAAAAAGTAGCTATTACTCAACTCTCTCTCTTCCCAAATCAACCCCAAACATGCAATACAATGCAAAACAAATAATTCTTTGATCCCCTTACAAGAAGTTTAATAAGAACTGGAAGTACCACCTTTCTCCAAGGGGAGGTGTACCAAAAAAAAAGAAAAAAAAACTAAAGATTTCATCACTCTAAAGTTCACTGTCAAACCAGAACTCTTCGGCAGTTTCATATACAACTACCCTAAAACTGAGCGACTCTATTCCTAGGAGCCAGGGAAATGACAGCATATGTCACAAAAGAACTTGTACATTAATGTTCATAGTATCCTTATTCATAATAGCCAAACACTGGAAACAACTCAAATGTCCAGCAACAAGAGAATATACTGTCGAACTGTGGTGCATTCACACAATAGATTCCACTACTAAATAATAAAAAGGAATGAACTACTGATACAATGATATGGATAAATTTCAACCATTATGCTGAAGGAAAGATGGCAAACACATATGAGTATAGTCAGTCATTCTGTGTGTTTTCATTTGTATGAAGTTCTAGAAGAAGCAAAACTAATGATGGTGATGAAAATCAGAACAGTGCTTACATTAGGGGGCAGGGAGTGACCGGAGAGGGTGCCTCTGGCATAATGGGTATGTTCAATTATTGATCAAAGTGGTAGCTACACAGTCCTATTCATTTGCTAAAACTCAAATTGAAGATCTAAAACATGCGCATGGCCGGGCATTGTGGCTCACATCTGTTCTCCCAGTACTTTGGGAGAACAAGGCAAGCGGACCACTTGAGTCCAGAGGTTCAAGACCAGCCTGGGCAACATGGAGAAACCCCATCTTACCAAAAGACACACAAAAAAATTAACCCAGTGTGGTGGCACACGTCTACAATCCCAGCAACTCAGGAGGCTGAGGTGGGAGGATCACCTAAACCTAGGAGATCAAGGCTACAGTGAGCCATGATCATGCCACTGCACTCCAGCCTGAGAAAGTAAGACCCTGTCTCAAAAATAAATTAAACGTGCACATTTTATCATATGTATATTTTACCTTACTTTTTTAAAAATATGAAAAGAAATGAAGGCATAGACAGCTTTGGCGCAGGCTGCTGAGAGTCAAGAAAGATGGAGAGAAGCAGGCTGCTTCATTACCACTGGGGGAATGGAAGCCCAATTTGTATGGAATGAGGAGAGAATGGGGCATGAAGTTGGTGAAACAGAAAAGTTTTCTAAGGAATACCAAAGGTAGAACTTGCTGACAGGCTGACTCAGTAAACAAAAACAGTTTGACCTGTGAAGTAAAAACCAACTTCCAAACCCAAGTAAGATTAGAAATAGAAAAAAAAACAAACACTCCGGAAAATAGGGAAATCAGACACGGGAAACTATAAGAGGAAAATAAAAAATTCTCAACCCCATTAAGTTTCTGACCCCACTGAGACATTCAGGTTACAAGGACAGTGATTTTTTTTTTTGTTTTTGTTACTATCCATTAGCAACACCATCTTGCACGTGCATAGGACTTAATTTCCAAACAGATTTTATACTCACGTTCTAACTTAATCCTCTAACACCCCTCTAGGATACTGTTACTCCATTTGAGGAGAGAAAAGGTAATCATGGTTCAGAGATGTTCCATGGCCTGCCCAAAGTCCAACAGCTAGTCACAGAAACCCACACCTTCTGCTTCCAATCAAAAGCTATTGCCATTATGCCACGCCTGCTTCCCTCTGCAAGATTACAGCCTCTCTTCATTCAGCCTAGCACGCAGTTTTATTTCTGTGTCCCTCTAAAAGTCACCACTATTTTTAATGCAGTAAAAACCTGCAGAAACTGGGTCATTTGGGGCCACGGCCCACAAAATAAAACAGGAGAGTTGCAGATACCCAATTCTAGAATACCTTTAATTGGTCATACCTTAAACTAGGAGTCTGAACCCCAGGGGGACAAGATGCTGCAGTGAATTTCCAGTGCTTTAGGCACTGCAGCCTGAGCAGCCAACTCTGCAAGTCATACTCAGAACTAACTAATGTATTTTACCACCTAACAAGGCCAGCAGAGCATAAATGTGAGCAAGAAGACAACCCCACACTGTGCATACAACATACTCCTCAGCAAAATGCTACCCTAGCATTTCCTTTAGCCTTATTCCAAAGCACAAAACCTAAATATTTTCATTTATGTGCTCAGTCTTCAAAGCATGGATCAACTCTTTTGCTTTTTTGGTTATATTTCTTAAGAAATTTCATTAAAGCAGTCACTATATAAATATATTTGGTGTGTTTGCAGAAAGGAATAACAATTCCAAAAAATACGCACCCTTAACATGGTATGTTCTGTTCAATAAAATCCATTTATGTAAGAGTAAATCATCTAGTTGTTAAAAAGTCTAAAGATGAACTAGTGTCTAGGACAGGAAACAAAACATTACTCAGATATGTTTAAATCCATTTAAAAAAAACCTTGCTTGAGAATATAAAATTAAATTGAACCATGTTTCCAAAGACAGGGTAATTAAATCAGGAAATTAAACAGCTTGAAGCATTGCTGCCTGGTAAATTAAGGAGTCTCTAAGACACTGCCTAGGACAGCTGGCCCCCAGGTCGCCTCTTACCTGGATGCATCTGTTCTGCGCTGCTCCGCAGTTTGCTGTAGCCATGGCTCAAGGGCACCCTCTGGTAATGAGGCGGGGAAGAAGGAGGGGAGGCGAGGGGTGACATCGTGGGAGACTGTGTTTCCTGCTTCAAAGAACCAGATCAGAGTTCAGAGGCAATCACTCAAGCCTGGCGTTTTGAGCCACAGTCAGGAAGCATAACGCAGCTCTACTGCTGGTGACCCAGCTGATTTAACAAACGGGGGGAAATGTTTCTCAAAAATGCAGCATGGTTAAACAGCAGTGTCTGAGGATTCAAAAAGTCTCCCAGAGAATAAAATGTCATCAGTGCTGAGTTACCTAAATTACTAAAACCAGCCTGAAACATTTTTGGTTATTCCAGTATTTTCCTTTGTATTTTCCTTTGGAAAATGAAAGACACTGATCACATGAAATAACATTCATACCCCCTCCCAACTGTGATCTCTCTGGATAAATTTCATTTTCTTTCATTAATAAATTTATTTCCTGGATTTATACTTATCAAGTCTACCAGCAAATGTGAATATTAAAATATATATTTTGAAATGCTTAATATTCTTGGAGCTTACTATGTCGAAGTAAAATGCTACCTTTTTTTTGACAATGAGAGATTGCAAAACAATTCATTATAGGTAAACCATTCCAACCGGCTTACTCCCAAATACTAAGGTGAAATCTTAATAAGCTACAATTTGAATCTCAATTCAAATATGAACCTGATGTAGAACCCTAGGCAAAGTAAGCAACCTTATCTGCTGCTGGGTTTCCTCTTTTTTTAAAAAAAAAAAAAACCTTTACTAGTAGACTGGTAAATTTGGAATACTCAAGGAACAAGAAAACAGTGGGGGTTTTTTGGGTTTTTGCTTTTTGGATTTTTTGCTTTTTGGTCTCACTCTGCTACCCAGCCTGAGGCACAGTGGCATGATCGTAGCTCACTGCAGCCTTGACTTCCTGGGCTCAAGCGATCTGCCCACCTCAATCTCCCTGCGCCACCATGCACAGCTAATTTTTTTTTTTTTTGGGGGGGGGAGAAGTGAGATCTTGCCATGTTGCCCAGGCTGGTCTTGAATTCCTGGGCTCAAGCGATTCTCCTGCGTTGGCCTTCTAAAGTCCTAGGATAACAGGCATGAGCCACTGCACCTGGCCAAAACAATGCTTTTTATCAACACACAGACTGCATATATATATAGGCTCCCTTAGTCTTAAAAGAAATATGATCAAATACTCTTTTTTTTTTTTTTTTTACTGGGCACGGTGGCTCACACCTGTAATCCCAGCACTTTGGGAGGCCAAGGTAGGTGGAAACTCCGTCTCTATCAAAACAAAATACAAAAATTAGCTGGGTGTGGTGGCACCTGCCTATAGTCCCAGCTACTTGGGAGGCTGAGGCAGGAGAATCACTTGAACTCGGGAGGCGGAAGCTACAGTGAGCTGAGGTCATGCCACCGCACTCCAGCTGGCAAAGAGTAAGAATCCATCTCAAAAAAACAAAAAACAAAAAACAAATACTCTTCTTCAAGAAAAAGAAAAATATATTTTCTCTAAAGCATGAACTCACACCCATAGATTGGGTGGGGCATGCATAAACTCAGCCTGAAGTGAAAGGATGTATTCTCATTCACACAGCCAGGGACTGGGACTGGAAATTTCCCAGGGCATCAACCACCATGGGACAGTGGACCCTCATTCCTCTCCAAATGCTGGTGAGAAATCATGCCAAAGAATATTGACTGAAAATTCCTACACCTCCTCCTTTTTAAATATATCCTTGAAGAACCAGTTTAAAATGTGTCAGAATTATGAAAGTGACAGTATATGGAATTGTTTAACAAGATGTGCTACACCTCCCTTAACTATCCATATAAAACTTCCGCAGCAACACTTCATCTATACAACATCACAGGGGTAAGTCACAGAAGTTAGTTTTCCAACATAATCGTTTAACATTCATTGCATTTGAAAAACATTTTCATTTGAGTTTTCTTTTTTTTTTTTTTAAGACACACTCTCACTCTGTGGACCGGGCTGGAGTGCAGTGATGTGATCTCAGCTCACTGCAACCTCCACCTCCCAGGTTCAAGCCATTCTCCTGCCTCAGCCTCCCGAGTAGCTGGGACTACAGGTGCACACCATCACGCCCAGCTAATTGTTGTATTTTTAGTAGAGACGGAGTTTCATGATATTGGCCAGGCTGGTCTCAAACTCCTAACCTCTGGTAATCTCTCTGCCTTGGCTTCCCAAAGTGCTGGGATTACAGGCATGAGCCACCATGCCCAGTCTCAAGTGTTCCTATGATATAATAAATTTCTTTATGTAGAAGATACCATGTTGAACATAATCTGACTTCTCTGCATCATTCAGTATCTTTGTTGGAAGTATGAGCTGTACCTTGATGTCTGTGGGTACACTAATGTGTAGACTATTTCTTCCTGATAGGCCCACTCTTCTGAGATTTTATACTTTTGTGTCCACCAATCATCATCTGACTATTGCAATTAGTGGTCTAATTTTAAAAGTCTATCCTCCCTATTCTGGTTCCAAACCTCCTAAATGGATAATGGCAGCATTTCCCAAGTTGAGATTCCAAATATGTTCCCCAAGAAAGAATTTCCTAGTGAAAGAAATTTAGTAAACACAGATTTCCAGGTCTCTTTACTGCAGAACTTCTCAGGCCCTTTACCATGCTAATGTGCACTACGAATTTCCAAGATTGGGAATTTAGTCTTTCCCTCAGTAAGAGGATATGAAGCAGCATTCTCCAAACACATTTATTATAATAGGAGAAACCTTTTCTACAGACTTCTTTTTGGAGAAAAGAACCACTAAAAACTCCTGGAAGTTACATTTCCAAGAATCCATTTAGAAAACCCCTGACCTAGGGAAATCAATAGATATATTAAATCAGTAGCCTTATTTTAGACAGAATTCTACTTTAAAGTAGGCTTTAAAGGGGCCTTGAGTGGCTGGTAGTGATTCATATGCATCAGCCTCTCTTTCTTGCAAAGAGAAAACTTTACTGGCTCACTTCCAAGTCTGTAATTGGGTTCCAGATGGTAAGATTTGCTGGAAGCTGAACAGTAGATACCAGGCCCTGCTACATGAGGTTTCACAGTCAGAATTAAATGAACATGTCTGATCAAACTGTTTACCTGTTTATCCTCATCGTCCATTCTTTTGAAGGAATTTTTTTCCGTGGTTAAATATGGAATCTGAACCTTAGTTCCATGCAGCTCAGCTGGGTTCCCAAATCGTATCTCACCATCATTCTTTGACATCATAAAGCGAGGCAGAGGCAATTCTTTAGGACCAGAAATCAGAGAAGCTCCAGTCAGACTTTATTTAAAAACTGCAAAAACGGGGAATTCAATGGCCAAAAGATGAATCATTTTTGAGGAAAAATTCCAGAGCACTAAATATAGATTAAATTTAGATTTAGATACAATGAGTACTCCTATAATAATGTCATGATTTTTTAAATGCTCTGGTTTAACCAAAGTATTCTGGCTTAACATTTTTCCATGTTGCCAAATCGCAGAATTAAATTCAGATTTGGGACTGATCTCCCACTTCATCCTTCAGTCCAATAACCAAGAAAAAGGATATGACATTGTATAATACAATAAGTGACAAATGGTGGCAGGTAAAATTCATATCGTACTTAAATATGCCAGGCACAGTATTAAAGATTTGCAAACATTAACTCATTTCCTATGATAAAACTATCATTACCCCCACCCCATTACAAAAGTGGAAACAGACATAAAGGAGCTAAGTAATGTCCCCAAGATCACACAACTCATCTCTGACTGGTTTGAACACAGGCAAGCTGGTTCTTAACCAGTGCTCTACAGAAAGGTCTCTTGTTCCTAAGGTAAACTTACTGGGTAAAACAGTTTCTCATCCTATATAATTCTTTCAGAAATTTTCACATCCAATCTCTGGTTGTCTTTCCATAATGGAATAAGGAATACAGTATCAAGTCAGAGCAATCAATCCATCATTCAGCCAGGTTCTACTGTCAAAACCATTATCCACTCATAATGTTACAAAGAGTTGAAATGCAATGGTCTGCTATATTTACTTATCTTTCAAAATTCTAACAAAACTATTCTGAAAGCGGAAATGATACTTTGGCACACTTCTAGTTCTCAGCACATCATGTTACACACAATCACGTAGCACAAAACCCTAAAAAATGGGGACAATATTATGGATTATGCATAATGACTTGCATCTGTATCCATTGTTCAGGATAATATTCATCAGTGTGCCTTTGCACTTCCACTAGCTCTCTATTCCAAAAACACAGCTGCACTTTCAATGATTGATGCTGTACTAAGGCCAGAAAATATCTTAGCAACAGCAAGCAAGTATCCTAGATCTCCCCAGGCAAAGAAGGCCCCTGGTTCTCCAATATCCACATGATGTTTATTTTTAGTTGCTATGTCCACATTTGATTCAAAGAAGCAGGTGGTCAGGAACGGCGGCTCATGCCTGTGATCCTAGCACTTTGGGAGGTGAAGGCGAGTGGATCTCCTGAGGTGAGGAGTTCAAGACAAGCCTGGCCAACATGGTAAAACCCCATCTCTACTAAAAATACCAAAAATTAGCCAGGCATGGTGATAGGCACCTGTGATCCCGGCTACTCGGGAGGCTGAAGCAGGAGAATTTCTTGAAGCTGGGAGGCGGAGGTTGCAGTGAGCTAAGGTCACACCACCGCACTCCAGCCTGGGCAACAACAACAAAACTCTGTCCCAGGGGAAAAAAAAGAAGCATGTAATATGACAAATCCCTGTGTGATCAACCAGCCAAGGGCCCAAGAGATGTAAATAGAGTAACCAGTCTTAATGTTTCCCAACCTCAGGCAGCTCTCCAGCACTGAAAGCCAAAATGGGCTTCAAAAGCAAAAAGGCAAGTGAAAAGAAACTCTAGAATCTTAGTAAGTCAAATATAAGCTAATCCTGTGGTTTTGGTCTCAGGTATATGCTCCAGCTCAGTCTGCAAAAAGGATCTAAAAAGATGAAACAAGATCACATGAAATAATTTGCATCCTGATCTGCCCATAAGAGGATGACTCTACGTCCAAGTACTTATTGAGGGAGAAAAGAAAGAAATGCTCACAGTATTTACTGGCATTCAACAGATAACTCCAAGGAACAATGGAATACACTCATGGAATTATGAATATCAATTATTATACTAGGACTTAAATAGGGCTCCCAGATATTGTCTAGGACACTTTCGCTTCATACATTCTTCCACCCTGTCTGTAGAAACTCTTTAGAACTATTTGACTAGAAAACCACCTCTCCCCTGCCCCACACACCCACCAAACAGTAAAAGACAAATTATAGCTGAATTTCTCTCATACTTTCTTTGGTCATGTGGTTTTTAAACAACTCTCACTTAACGGAATTGTAACCATAATAATAATATTCTTATCATTGAAAACTTTCATGAAGGTGCCATTTCCCTTAACCTGATCCAAGCTTTTAAAAAGTGAAAGGTAAAAGTAGTTTGCAAATGTTCAGTCTGAATGCTTTTTGTCTTTTGGGTTTTGTTTTTTTGAGGCAGGGTCTCACTGTCTCCCAGACTGAAGTGCAGTGGCACTAATGTAGCTCACTGCAGCCTTGAACTCCCAGACCCAACTGACCCTCCTGCCTCAGCCTCCTGAGTAGCTGGGACTACAGGTGCTTGTGACCATACTGGCTAATTTCTTTTTTTTATTTTTTGTAGAGATGGGGTCTTGTGATATTGCTCAGACAGGTCTCAAATTTTTGAGCTCAAACAATCCTCCCACCTTGACCTCCTAAAGTGCTGGGATTACAGGCATGAGTCACCATACTCAGCTGAATATTTTTCCTAGTCACATGTATAAAAAATTTGATAGTAAAACTTTGAAAAACTTAATCAATAAAGTATCTGCCATACAATTATGTCTGTCAAGAAAAAGGTCTATTTGTAGTCATTGGTTAGAATCTTATCTCCCAAACTGAATTGAATTAATACACAGGAAACAAAGTCAGAGTTCGAACTAATTGTTTAGAGGGTGTGAGAAGATAATAAGAGTGGCCATCCAAGATGACAATTTGCTTCGTAATGCTATCCTAGGTTACATTCTTTGAACATAGAAATGCTTTGTATATTAAATATAAATGACTATTTTTTCCTTCCACAAATAAAACTATGCCTGTTCCTTTTTCAACACCTAACCCTCTACAAAAAAGAAAAATCCTTTGTTTTTCCATATTTGATAGAGATACAGATATATTAGAAATACTGACTCCGAGATCCAAGATGGCCCCTTAGGAGCAGCTCGGGATTGCAGCTCCCAGTGAAAGCACAGAGGGTGAGTGGACGCCGCATTTCCAGATGGATCTTTACTGCCCACAGACCAGGAGATTCCCAGGTGGAGGAGCCCCATGGGTTGCCAGCACAGCTGTATTGGCCAGCATGGCTGTTTCAGCCGGTGCGACTGTTTTGCTGGCGCCCTGGCATGGTGGCTCTCCATACAAAATACACTGGTCTGGCTGCCCTTTTAAGCTGGAAATTGCAGCTCTGGGAAGGCATATTAGCCCATTCATCTGATTAAACAGGACTGAAACAGAGAGCCAGGGCAGGAGATTCCCGGGCAGCAACGTTGTTTCAGCTGGCACAGTGGGTCACCATATGGGAAATCACACAGATCCTGATGCCCTTTCAGCAGGCAACTGGAACACCTGGGAGAGAGTCAATCATTCAACTAAAAAAAAAAGGCTCTGAGGCAGGGAGCCAGGTGATAAGGCTCGGCAGGTCCCACCCCCACAAAAACAAACAAACAAACCAAAAAAACAGCAATTGGAAACACTCGGGGTTGAGAGTTTCATGGCAAGCACAGCTGAACCCGGGAGGGTCCAGCTCTGTGGGGGAGGGGCGTCCGCCATTACCAAGGCACTCCACCCCTACGGAGGTAGTCCACCATTGCTGATGCAGCCTGCCATTGCCACGACAACCCGCCATAACAGAGAGAATCCGCCATTACAGAGGCGGGCCACCATTGCTGAGGCAGTTCTAACCACACTCATATAAACAGGACTGCAGGGAAGTTCACATGGCAGCAGGGCGGAGCCCACAGCAGCTCAAAGCCTCTGCAGGCAGACAGTGACTAGGCTGTCTCCTTGCTGGGCAGGGCAGCCTGAAAAAAAAAAAGGCAACAGCACAATGGATACTCATAAATGAAGCCCTAACTCCCCAGGACAGAGCACCTGCGGAAAAAAAGGGGTTTATGAGTTCTGCTGCAGCAGACTTAAATGTACCTGCCTAGCAGCTCTGAATGAACAATGGAGCTCACAGCTCAGCACTTGAGCTCCTATAAAGAACAGACTGTCCAAAGCGCAGAGAAATAGAGGACGCCACACTTTAAGACAAATTCTGGTCGCTCACGGAGCAGAAGATCCCCAGTGGAGGACCCACACGGGCCACCAGCACAACTCTTGTGGCTGGCGCAGCGGTTTCACCGGCACCTCGGCGCAGCAGCTCTCGGAGCAGAGTAAACAGGGCCAGCTCCCCTTCTGACTGAGGTTTGGAGGACCCACACGGGTCCCCAGCACGACTTCTGAGACCCGCGCAGCGGCTGTGACAGCACCTCAGCGCGGCAGCCCTCAGCACAGAGTAAACGAGACTGGTTCCCCTTCTGACCGAGGTTTGGAGCCCCAGGAAGGGAGAGTCACCCATTATGGACACAAGAAGGAAGCCAGACAGGAGAATCCTGGGCAGATAAGCACCACCAGTCTTAACGCTGCCATTCTGGCCCTGGGAACTAACAACTTGGACGTCCACTCAAGAGACCTAATCTGAAAGTTGGTAATTTCAAAGATGACAGGAGGATAAATTTACAATGATGGGAAGAAACCAGTGTAAAAAGGCTGAGAATACTCAAAATCAGAACGCCTCTCCCTCTAAAGATGATCACAGTTCCACATCAACAATGGAACAAGGCTTGACGGAGAATGAGCGCATCCCAATGACAGAATCACTCTTCAAGGAATGGATAATAAGAAACTTCTGTGAGTTAAAAGAACATGTTGTAGCCCAACGTAAAGAAACTAGGAACTTTGAAAAAAGGTTTGATGAAATCCTATTGAGAATAGACAACTTAGAGAGGAATATAAGTGAATTAATGGAACTGAAGAATACAATACAGGAACTCCGAGAAGTATGCACAGGTTTAAACACTCGAATTGTTCAAGCAGAAGAAAGGATAACAGAGGTCAAAGTCCAACTTAATGAAATAAAACAAGAAGACAAGATTAGAGATAA